AACCAAGTAGAACTGTTCTTCGCCCGTGGCGGTCGACCGCGAACAGATACTACAGAAAAACAGGTTTGAAAACAGATTTTTTGACTTTTGGAAAATTGTTAAAAATAACAAATGAAGTCCAAAAATTATGAAACTTTGGGAAATGTATATAAACATGTAAATGAACATGTTACAAAAAGAATTTTCCAAATTACATTTCCCATTTGTGAAAAATCATCATTTTGCAAAAATAGTCCAAAACACGAAAATGTAAACATGTGAATTTTGACATTTAGGCTAAACCATGTTTTGTAACTTTGCACAATGATTATATAGACTTAATAAAATATGTATATGATAGGGGCAGTTAGTTAGGCGCATGATAGAGGGCGATTTCCTCCTGCTATTGTGCGCCACTGCCTAGATCTCGCATGAAGAAGAAGAAGAAGCAGGGTAATAAGGGGATAGTTGATACTACATTGAGAGATTCATTATTCGTGTATCCTTCTCCATCCTCTGTAGATGAAGATGAGGGATCTGAGGGTTCAATGAAGATGAGTGATGCTAGGGGAAGCAATGGAACAGTAAAGGAGATTCGTGCTTCGTCCAGAAATGTAATGGAGATGGAAAGCACTGGCCCTAAGGGAGCTAAGAAGAAAATGCTAATGGAGGAGATCCTGACCAAATCTAAGTCAATTTCAGAACCAGGTCTTCTCAGATCTGGTCCAGCTCGTCAACTAGGTGAGTCCTCTTTTTCCCCCTCTTGGGCTGATGAAATGGATGAAGATTTGACAAATGATTTGAATGAATCAACGGAGATGATTGATGATGATCATGAGATCCTTACTCCTTTTGTTGCGCAATCTACAATTGGGAGGATTCAGACTTCCCAAAACGTGAGATCTGAAAATCCCAATCTGGAAGAAGAGGGGGACAATAATGTAGAGGCTCCATATCAGCGAGAAGTTCTTGAAAGGGAGGAAGTTAAAAAATCATATGTGAGTTTATTTTCTGACAACAGGAAACCAGGTAAAGGTCTTGATCTCAACTTTGTCCCAGCTTCACCTTCTGCAACTTTATCTTTTACTGAAGAAGAATGGAGGGAGGGTGTTGATTATTGGAAATACTCCTTAGTAGGACATGTTATAGGTCTGGATGTAAAATTCAAATCTATGGAATCATATATCAACAAAGCATGGGCCAAAATATCAATTCCTAAGATTACTTTGATTAAACAAGGGGTTTTCTTATTTGATTTCCAATCTGATCAGCAGATGAGAGAGGTATTGGAATCTGGGCCTTGGTTCTTTGGTTCAAGGCCTTTGATGTTAAAACCATGGTCTATTGAGATTGAAATGGAGAAAATACAGGACTATTCTTACCCAATGTGGATTCAACTCCCAAATCTGAAGCTTAATCTGTGGAGTGCCACAGGGATTAGCAAGATTTCTAGCTTAATTGGATGTCCTATAACTACTGATATGCTTACAGCTACTAGGCAGAGGCTTAGCTATGCTAGAGTACTAATTGAAGTGCAATTGCCCCTAAAGAAACCCCTGCCAGACCAAGTTGATTTTCAAGGACCAGATGGGAAAAAGTACAATCAGAAGGTCATTTATGAACTTAAGCCTAGATGGTGTTCTAACTGTAGCACTATTGGGCATGACACTGATAATTGTAGAAGACAAAAGTTCAAGAAAATGTGGGTTCCAGTTAATAGAAAGGGAAATTCTGAAGCTCAAGCATTGTCTGAGCCTGTGCATGTTTCTGGAGATCAGATTAATGTTAGTCTGTCTGATACATCTGCTCAGCAAATGGAGAAACCTTCAAGCAGTAGCAATATGCAAATAATACCCGAGGCAAATATAAATGCTTATGTTTCTCCTGATAGGGGACAAACATTAGCCAATCCTTCTGCACCTGAAAAACATGCACAGAGCATGAGGTCTGATATTCATAGCATCAGACTTGGAAATTCTGGACTGGCAACTTTTCACCAAATTTCATCTCCAACAGTCAATGCATCTGGATTTTCAAGTGTTAATAGGGCAAGTATTGCAAGAAGAGTTTTAGCAAATACTCCAGGGAACCTAACTCAGGTATCTTCTTTTTCTCCATTGGAATCTCTGACTCTGGACTTTGACCCCTGTTGCATAGACAGGGGGAAAGGACAATAATGCACTTTGCTATTTGGAATATTAGGGGTTTTAACAAATCCCCTAAGCACTTAATTGTAAAGCAATTCATTCAAGAGTATAAGCTGCCTTTCATAGCCCTATTGGAAACTAAGCTTTCTGCAGGAAATATGGATAAAATAGCTCAAAAAATTGCAAAAAATTGGGAATGGATCTCTAATAACCAAGAAGCAGGAAATGGGAGGATTTGGCTTCTATGGAATTGTGATATTCTTTCCATTCAGTGTGTTAAAACCTCAATGCAATATGTGACATGCTCAGTCAACACAAAAGATGGTAGGTTTTCTTGTCTAATGACTGTGGTTTATGCTTTGAATCAAAGAGAGGGAAGGAAAGTATTATGGCAGGAACTTCAAGCTTTCAGAACAACAGTTGATTGTCCCTGGCTAGTTGGGGGAGATTTTAATGCCATCACTAATGGAGATGAAAGATTGGGAGGTGCACCTGTTACAGGAGCTGACACTGAAGATTTCCAGCAATTTATTTCCTCTAGCAAACTGGTGCATATTAAGACTACTGGATGTTTTTATACATGGAACAACAAGCAAGATGCTGAAAGTAGAATTTGGAGCAGATTAGATAGAGTTTTGATCAATGAGTTGTGGATCATGCAATATACATCAAGTCAAGTAGATTTTTTACAGCCAGTCTGTTCTGATCATTCCCCAGCTCTTCTTACAGTTGGAGAGGATGATTTTCAGGGCAAGAAACCATTCAAATTCTATAAAATGTGGACTAAGCACACTGAATATCTCCCTTTAATCAGATCTATATGGCAGCAGGATGTGCAAGGTTACTATATGTACAAATTGTCCTGCAAGATGAAAATGCTCAAACCTGTTCTCAAAGATTTGAATAGAAGACATTTCATGAATATTAGTGAGCAGGTATTAAGAGCCAAACAGGAGCTAATTGATATTCAAAACAAGATCAGCACAGATCTTTTCAACTCTCACCTTATTTCCAAAGAAAAAGATTGCTTAAAGAAATATACTAATCTCCTTCAATGTGAAGAATCCTTTTATAGGCAGAAAGCAAGCATTAAATGGGCTATTCAAGGAGACAAATCCTCTCACTTCTTCCATTCACAAGCATTAAATGGGCTATTCAAGGAGACAAATCCTCTCACTTCTTCCATTCAGCCATGAAAGCTAGGAGGCACCAAAATAGGGTCTATTCAAGGAGACAAATCCTCTCACTTCTTCCATTCAGCCATGAAAGCTAGGAGGCACCAAAATAGGGTATTATCTCTGTATACTGAGGATGGGAATAGGGTATCTGATATGGACACAATCATTGCTGAGCTTATAAACTACTACAAGAGGTTATTGGGAGTTTCTGGGAATGTTTCTGAGCCTGATCTTGCCACTATAACTAATGGTCCTATTCTCTCATCAGAACAAAGAGAATTCCTTGGTTCTCCTGTAACTAGAGAGGAAATAAAACTAGCTGTCTTCACTATGTCTGATGATAAAAGTCCTGGTCCTGATGGATACAGTGCTTCATTCTTCAAAACTGCCTGGGATGTAATTGGTGATGAGATGTGCAAAGCAGTGGAAGAGTTCTTCTATACTGGTAAACTCCTTGGTGTCTTCAATTCAACTTCCATCACACTAGTCCCTAAAATTCTAAATCCAAGATCTCCATCTGATTATAGACCTATTTCTTGCTGTAACTGTGTCTACAAGGTTATATATAAAATTATTGCTGCCAGAATTCAGAATGTCATTGGTTATTTGATTGATGAGGCTCAGAGTGCTTTTGTTAAGGGCAGATTGATCTCTAACAATATTCTACTTGCGCATGAACTCCTAAAACACTATGGCAGGAAGAATGTCTCTCCAAGAGCTGTTCTTAACATTGATTTGAGGAAGGCCTTTGACACCATAAATTGGAGTTTTATTAAGGCTATGCTGACAGGTTTGGGATTTCCTGATAATATGGTTAAATGGGTGATGGAATGCATCTCTACTTCAAAATTTTCCCTGTCACTCAATGGATCATTACATGGCTACTTTGAGGGGGCTAGAGGATTGAGACAAGGAGATCCATTGTCTCCTTATTTGTTTGTTCTTGGTATGGAGTATCTATCCAGAAAGCTTAAACTTCTCAGTGCAGACAGACTGTTTAAACACCACCCAAAGTGTGCTAAATTGGGTATCACTCACTTGATCTTTGCTGATGACCTATTACTTTTTTGTAGAGCTGATATGGAGTCCATAGTCCAAATAAACAACTGCCTTCAGGAGTTTAGTACAGTATCTGGATTGGAGCCAAACTCCTATAAATCCTCTGTGCTATTGTGTGGGATTGAAGACAATGCTAAAGCTCAAATATGTTCATACCTGAAATTTCCAGAGGGATCGTTGCCTGTGAGATACTTAGGCATGCCCTTGGTCTCTAAAAGACTCTCCTACTTGGACTGCTCAACCTTAATCTCAAAAATTTCGGATCAGCTGCAAGACTGGCAGAAAAGAAAGAACTTATCCTATGCGGGAAGGATTCAACTCATTAAAACTGTTATCCTGGGAATTCAATCATATTGGACCAGTAATTATATTCTGCCGATAAAAGTGCTGGAGAAAATTGATATGCTTTGTGCTGCATTCTTATGGGGAAGTAAAATACACCTTGTTTCATGGCCAGAAGTCTGCAAGGATAAAAAATTAGGAGGTTTGGGGTTATTTTCCTCTGAGCTGTGGAATCATGCTGCAGCTATCAAGTGGCTATGGATGATACACTCTAAAAAAGACCTATTGTGGATTAAATGGGTACATGGTAATTACTTAAAGCAACTGGAAATCTGGCAAGTTCAACCGAAGAAAAGTGATTCGTGGATGTGGAGGCAAATCCTAAAGGTGAGGGATTTGGTATTGAGAAGATTTGGGAATGTGCACAGCCTGCTCAGAGCTGTTGCTAACTGTCACAGCAATGGAAAAATGAAAATTTCATCTATATATAATACTATCTCTCAATCTCCAGCATCTTCAGCAGCTGTACCCTGGGCGAAAACAGTTTGGGATGATTTGCATTATCCCAAGCATTCGATAATCCTATGGCTTGCTACTCTATCAAAGCTTCTGACAAAAGACAGATTATGTCGTATGGGTATATTAGAAATCAACCAGTGTGTACTTTGTGCTGATTGTCATCCTGAATCTAGAGAACATCTGTTTTTTGAATGTCGGTTTTCTTCATATGTTTGGAATAATCTGATGGCATGGATGAAGTTTACTTGGAGATCCTGCTGCTGGAGTCAGGTAATGAGATGGTATAGCAACAATTTGAGGGGACTGGGATTCATGAAAAAGCTCAGGAGAATGATGTTGTCTGGAACAGTTTATTGGATATGGAAGGAGAGGAATTTGAGGATCTTCCAGCAAAAAATCCGCAACCCTGACCAGCTTATCAAGGAAATTAAGATCTCATTACTCCTGAAAGTTCTTAATGATGATATTCTTGAATACTTAAGAGAAGAAGTAGCAAAGTTGTAAACTGTAGATAGTTTTCAGTATGTTGTTTGCCAGACAAAATAGTTCTGGTAGTTCTTGTTGCTCTTATATTTCAATATTTGGTGATGAATAAAATTTATTTCATTTACCAAAAAAAATATGTATATGATTATTGTTAAGTCCAAAAACTAATAATACAGATTTTTTACAAAATTGCATATTCTATGCAATGTTTTCAAAAACACAATAGTAAATATGAAATATGTGATTTCATATTTATAAACATGAAAACCCAAAACATATGTATGTATATATATAACTATATATATATAATGTATATATATATATATATGAAAACCAATATAATGTGTGTGTATAATATTGAGCTTAAAGTACTTAACACACATAATATAAAATCTAAACTAGATTACCCAAGCTAGATCTTGATCTTCATTGTAGCTCAACTTGGTACACATGCGGATGAAGCTTGAACTTGATCTTTAACTTTGAATTGCAAGGCTTCACCGACATTCCGCCAACCTCCTTTGGATATGATCGTTGAAGCTCTATTCCATCCATCCTCCAACTACGTTGTTTGTCTATAATAAATAAGAAAACACAAATACTAGACGAACAACATTAGTGGTAAATTGTTTGTTAAACATCATCAAAACAAGAAGGCCAACAGTACTATCCCTAGTACGTTCAGGATAACCAATTTAACAGGAAGTTTCTGGAGGATACTGTGCAGGATATTCTTAAGGATAACCCGAGATTAGCTGATTACTCAAGATGAAAACCAATCATCTGAATAATTCATCCTTAATCATAAATAAGAAGTGATTAAAAAAACCTCCCACGGTGAATAGTCAATCATTTCCAAAATGATTAAAACCCTCCCGTTGTGACTTTCCAAGTACTCTTTCATTGAGATGAGATTAAATGACCTTAGTTGGTTCATCTTCCCTCAAGAAACTCCTATGATATAACTGTGGAGTGTCTGATGATTCACGGTCCTCCACCATAAAGTCCCTCACTGATCAAATTAACTGACAGTGGGTCGAGCAAAAATTCCTTCGGCTAAGTCCATCCAGACTCCCCATGTGTTTGTGTACTTAACACTCTCAATGTTAAAGTCCTAACACGGTACTCAAAAGTTCAAGCTACTGATTTATGACAATTAACAAACCTCTTTCATGTTAAGACCCTGTTACTTGACGCTGAAAATCCAAACCAAGTGAGTCGTACAAATTAACATTCTCCCTGTTATTTGTACCACACTCTCACTGTTTGTTTGGTCAAACCTTCCTATAGTTAGGACCAAAGCCAAAATCCCTTCTCGATTCCTTCAATGAACGAGAGGTCCATTTTTAAATCAGACTTCCCTTCCGATAAACGAAAGGGCTCCGCCCAATTTGAACGATCAAACCTATAAAAGTTAGGATCGTCTCAATAACCCCCACCTGGTCAAACAATCGAACGGTTAGGACCACAATCAGAATTCCTTTTCGATAAATGAAAGACCTCCATTTTTTCTCCTTCGGTCAAACCTATAAAAGTTAGGGTTGGATTCGGAATTTCATCTCGTTAAATGAGAAATTTTATTTTCAGATTAGGTAACAAATCCTATAAAAGTTAGGGTTATCTGAATCTTTTCGATTCTCAGAATAAAGATCTCATTCTTAGTTTCACCTTCTAGATTCTCAAAGTAGAGATCTCACTTTGAGTTTCTTCTACAACAGGAGATAGCATATAAAATTCTTCCTCTTTAGTATCGGGTTCGTCTTTACCCCAAAAGAAGACGCAATCTTTCAATATCGTAGCAACAAAAATCCATGCCTCACAGGCATGGGGGATTTTATCTTGATCCCTAAATATAGATAAGTCTGTTTCTAACACATGTTTTCGGGTGGTTCATTCCCACGAAAATGACCAAGTCTACGTATTCAATATCATAGCAACAAAAACCCATATATGTTACGCATGAGGAATTTTATCCTAAATCCTAAGTAGAGATAAGTCAGCGCCTAACACGCGTTGTCGGTTAGTCTTTTACTGTAAAAAATGATAAAAACTCACGTATTCAATATTATGACAGGCTGTTATTAATAACGCCAAAATCCGTACCTTACACGCATGAGGAATTTTATCCCGAATCCTAAGTAGGGATAATTCTACGCCTAATACGTGTTGCTGGTTAGCGTATTTCCATAAAAAAAGCAAAGTCTACGTATTCGGAATCATAACATTAAGTCTAAGAGAGTTTATTCTTTTAGCATAACATTACATGTAAAATAGGTTTAAATAATTTACATGCTAGCCCGATTCAAAAGGTAATCGGTAAAGGCTTGTCAAATCCGTTGATGACTGAGGGTTTACTAAAAATCCTAAGAGCATCTCGTGGGGGATGGTTAAGTCTACGTATTCAATATCGTAGCACTAAGTCTAAAAGAGTTCATTCTTAAGCACAACGTTACATGTGAAACGGATTTAGACAATTCACATGCTAGCCTGATTCAAACGGTGATCAGTAAAGGCACATCAAACCCATTGATGACTAAGAGTTTGTCAAAAATTCTATAAGTATTATGGTTGATTATTCCAAACAAGATGAAAAAAATCATAATAAAAATATACTGAGCAAAAAAATATTTTATTAATAAAGATCAAGTTTGTATATACAAGAATTGTAATTA